GGGGGAGCAATTTCCAGTGAATGGAGCAGCTCTCTGAATATAAATGCTTGGGAAGAAAGGAGCAGTAAAAGGACGGTGCGTGTGGCCCCAGCCAAGAAGGTTTTCAGTATTCTCTGACGTTCTTAAAGCGGGAATGGGAAACAAGAGCAAGAGGCAGCTAGCAGAGGAAATTAAACACCTAGAGGTGCCTCCATGGAAAAGAGGCCCAAAGCTGCGATGGTGAATGCTACAGACGGGGCCGTGGACGGGAACACAGCAGCCCTGCAGCTACAAGCGCAGAGCTCTGTACAACCAATCCACGGCAGATGTGGGGTTTAGCGCCCGCAGCCCGCCCCGGGCACACGCTGGGTCCGTGTCCAGTCGTCATGCAGCCCAGCAGGTGTGGGGGGCAGCTGAGCTCCGGGGTGTGGTCTCAGCTCTGCCATGTGGCCTGTGTGATCTTGCACCGGTTATTTCACCTCTCTGACCCTAGGATTATCCAACTGTAAAAAGGGACCAACATCTACCTTCCCAGGCTGTTGTATTAAGAGAGGTCACGAGTTCGAAGGGTTTGGCCCAATGCCTGTCACGGAGTGTGTTAAAAGTAGCTTGTGTGATCATCGCAATTCCATTTAGCTCATGTCTCAAGCCCCGGGAACATTTACTCACAGCACAGGCTACTAATGACTGTTTTCTGGGCTGGAGCCCTTCCCGAGGCCACGTTCCGAGCTCAGCTCCCCGATAGCTCTGTGCTTCGCAACGCGCCAGGGAGCAGAGCGGCTCTCGCTGGGAGCAGCAGTTCTTGGAGCTAGTCACAGGCTTCACGGTGTCAGAGATTCAGCCCTGACCGCTGGCGCCAAGGCCACCCACACGGGGCATGGCGGAGCGAACAGCGCAGGTGGCCCGCATCCATGAGCGTCACAGCGGGTCCGGCGATGTCAGCATGGAGCCGGTCCAGGTGAAAAAGCGGGCTGGGAGCTGCCAACTGCTAATGGGACAGATTACAGCCTGGCTCCCAGCTCTCCCCCAGGGAGGACACCAGCCAGCCGCTAACCCGAAAGCTGGCCCACAACTCCTGCTCACGTCAATGAAGCAGCAGAGGAAGTGGGAGCAGCTGATGCAGGCTGAGAATTGGGCTGCCGAGGGGACGCTGGAGAATCTGTCCCCACCCCACCCCAGACCTGCTGCCCTGGCCACCCGCCCAGCTCCCTCCTGCCCTTGCCCATCAGGCCAGCCCTCGCCCAGGGTACCTCCTGAGGACGGGTTTCCTCCCTGGGAACTTGGGTTGTACCAGCCCTTTGAAGTTATCCTTGCATTTCTGGGAAATGGACTCAATTGCTCAGAGTAACTTCTTATGAGATTCTTTAACCCAATTTCTTTCAGGTCTGAGGCTCTGAATAAAAAGACCACAGATAATAAGGGGAAGAAATCAGGGCACACGACAGAGTATGCTGGTGGTCTGGGTACCAGAGGGACCTCGGCTTTGCACTGGGTTATGTCTAAGTCTGTGTACATGCACACACACAAACACAGAGAGCCTTCACTTCAGTCCGTGATGGGCTTGACAAAGATGTGGCTAGGATGAGAAGAAGGAAGTTAAGACTTTCTCGTATATAAAGTAAGTACAAACATCCCACAAGGATCTGGAAAAGGGAAAACACAGTCACCGAGCAGCTCCTAAGCCCCCGAGGTCTGTGCTTACATCTTACATGCGATACCTGGGGACAGAGACAGAAGGAGGGCACCCTGCTCCCAGCCACACAGCTCGTCACATCACCCACCTACCACGCTCCTTCTCACAAGCCTAGGATGGCATCCTGGGAGTTAGGGACAAACTAAGCAGTTTTCAATCCAAAAGTCATTTCCCTGAGCACCTGTTAAACGGGCGGGGGTGTCATTGGGTAAGGCTCGTTTGGAGACCTGATACCCTCATCCTCCTGGGGCAGCGGCAGATGGGCTGGGAGGGAGGAGAGATGCCTCCGTCATCTCAGCAGCCCAGGAAAGCTCAGCGGGCAGGGCCAGCTCTCCCAGCCCTGAACCAAGGCCCAGTCCTCACTGACCACCATCTGTTTGTCAGCCTGCCCTCTTCCCTCCACAGGGAGAATGAAGGGCGGGGCCAAAGGGCGCCGTCCACGAGCATGTGGGGCCTCACCGGGGCCCCCCGTGGAAAGGCCCAGCAGGCCCTCAGGTGCCCAATCTCACAGTCACGGTGCCGACTGCCAGAAGTGGAGGGGAAGTGGGCAGGGGGCTGTGGCTGGAGCAGGACGGGTCTGCGAAGCTTCGGCTTACTAGGAACTGAAGCCTCAGAACTTGGAGAGTCTGTGACACTAACACTCCAGCTACCCACTGCAGAGCGCCCCTAAGGCCCGGAGCCAGGCTGTGGCTTGGGCCACCCCATGGACGGCCCACAGCGAGGCACTACCCTCGCGGGCAAAGGAGAAAGTCCAGCATCAGTGCCTGCAAGTGTCACTCAACCCCTGGCCTGGGTGCCAGGGCTCCAGAGGCTAAGAACCGCAAGTCCTTTCCTAGGAGTCCAGGCTGCGAGGGGGACAGACACATAAACAAGAAAGCACAGTCAAGTATTGTGAAGGTTATGGCCAAATTCTATATGGGGCCTAGAGGAGCAAAGGACATGAGCACGGTTGGGAAAGGAAAGCAGAGGCTGGTTAGCAGCTGGGACGTGGACTCGGGACTGGTGGGCATTTCAGGGAGGAGCAGGACAGACGGAGGATGCACAGTGTGAGGTCGCCAGGCAACGCCGAGGAGTTCCGCGTGCTTGGCTTCAGCATGACGGGTAAACGGAGGGGCTATAGGCAGGGCCAGGTCACAGAGGACCTCGGGGGCCGGGCTGAGCTTGGGCTACATTCTGGGAGAACAGGGACCTCTTGAAAGCAGACATGTCACGTGGACAGATTTGCATCATAGAAAAATTACTTTGCAGCAGAACCGATGGGCTGGAGGGGAGAGAAAATGGAAGCAGAGGCTGTGTTCCATTCCGGCGATATTGTGAACAAAATGTATGAGACCTCCCAGCTTACCGAAAACACCAGGTAAAACTGAACAGTTTAAGGGCGCAGTTAAGAGAGTAAGATGAACCCTTGGGGCCGTCCATGAAGAGGAAACTGGAATGGCGGGTGGAGTACATGATGCTTCAGATGTGTGGTTGGTCTGACACAGCGGGGACCAGCCACAAGCAGATACCTAAATCTGAATGTATTTAAATAAGTATCAACGGGGACTTCCCTGGCCGTCCAGTGGTTAGGACTCCGCACTTCCGCTGCAGGGGGCCCGGGTTCAATCCCTGGTCAAGGAACTAAGATCCTGCTTGCTGCACGGAGAGGCCAAAAGTAAGTAAATGAATAAATAATAATAATAAAATTAAAAATAAATATCATTTGAAATAAGTTAAAATTTCAAATTCAGTTCCTCAGTCTCACTCGCCACATTTCCAGTGCTCAGAAGCCCCATGTGACTGGTGGCTACTACACGGAACAGCAGTTACAGAGCAATTGCATCGCTGTGGCGTGTCCTCTTGGGCAGCACTTGTGGGCATGTTGACACCTGGCATTCAAGCCAAATGCGACAAGAGCACAGAGCTGGGCTTCCCGCATAAATCCAGGACTCAGTGAAAGCGTGAACAGGAAAATAGATCTCCCACCCAAACAGAAAGGCCACAGGCAGATGAAGGAGCATTGGCCTAGGCTTGAAGTGGCATAAAAATCTCTCCTGGGGCTTCCCTGGTGGCGCAGT